GCAAGGTCGTGAGTTCGGTTCCCGGTACCGGAGAAAAACCAAAAAAAAAAAAAAAGCGCGTAGCTCCCTCGAAAGAGGAACTTTCTGTCACATGAGGAGGAGGCCACAAGACCCAGGCCTAAGGTCCAGCTTCCCCTGTTGCTTCTGCAGTTGGCCATTCCCAAGAGGTCAGCCTCCCTCTGGGGCCAGGGCATGGGCTCTGGGTTTAGGGACCCTGCATTGTCTGTAGCTGCACCTCTCTGCTGCGGTGAGGGGCGTGCGGGGGTCGAGCACAGGGGTGACAGGCTCGGGAGAGTTAACCTCAGCCAAAGGTGCTGCCACAGGGGCCCAGAGGATAGCCCCCCTCAAACAGAAGTCTCCGGGTTCACTGCCAAGGACGCACAGCTTCAAAAACCGGAGGGTCGACGAGAGCTTATGATGAGAAAAGAACTTTTGCCAAGTTATTCTTCTTAAACTAACTTGCTGGAGAAGCCACGCGTAAATGGAGCCCGACTCAATGCAGGAACATGCATGCTGATGGCGCGTCAGCTTCCAGGGACAGCGTTCGTTTCCGGCCTAGCGTCTGTCCTCACTTCGGAAGACGTGAAATCCCTTCTGTCCCTGTTCCTGGGACCAGGCCCCAGGCTCCGTAGAAGTCCTGGCAGTGGGAGATTTCCTTCTGTCACAAGTTCTGACCCCAGTAGTCCAAGCCCGAGGAGGGAGTGTTGGTGTACAAGAAACCAACGGAATCATTTCTGGCGCTAAACCAGGCCCTCCCCAGCCGAGCGGTTCCAGGAAAACTGGCGCGTCCAAATCAGGGAAGTAAGGCGGCGACTGGGCTTTCTCCTAATGAATCCAATAAACCCTTGGGAAATAATCCGCCCAGGGACAAATATATGTAAACAACTTCCTATGCTTTTGGAGGCCTTTTCTCCTAAAGAGAGAAAAATAAATATCCCCTGTGTCAGCTTTCAAAGTAAATAAGTAGGAAATCAAAACGTATCAATAAATATAAGCCTATAAACTGGAGTTCTGGCTGGAGTTCTGGTGGCACACCCATGTAATCCCAGCATTCGGGAGGCTGAGGCAGGAAGATCACTGTGAGTCTGAGCCTAGTCTGGGGTATATAGTGAGTTCAAGGCTAGCCTGAACTGCACAATGAGACCCTGTCTCAAAAAGACAGAAAAAGAAAGGAAGCAAGCAAGCAAGCAAGCTGGAAAGTTAGAGCCGCAGTGATATGAGTGCATCTTGCCCATTCCTCCCTGTGCTGGGTTGCATAATGCCCCTATGAGACACATCTACCTGGAGGCTTGGGATGAGCATTTATTTGGAAATAGGGTCTTTGCAGATGTGATTAGTTACAGTGAGGTCACACTGCGTTAGGGTGGGCCCCGGGTCTGATACTGGCGTCCTTACAAAAAGGCTATGAGCAGACAGCCACACACATGCGGGAGGCAGTCCTGTGAGACAGGGGCAGGGGCGGGAGGGACACAGCTGCAACCTGAGGGACACCTAGGATCGCAGGCAACCCCAGAAGCTAGAGGAGGCAAAGAAGGCACACAGCCTTGCTGAGGCCTTCATTTCAGACTTCGCACATCCAGAACCAGGTGAGGGTCGCTTTTTGTTGCTGCACAACCCCCAGTTTGTGGTGAGTTTTCACAGCAGCTGTGGGGGACACTAGGACTCCTGGGATATGTGACATCTCCAAGATCGTGTGGTCAACTGGTTGCCAATCTCCTATCCCAATACCTTCTATTTTTCTTTAAGAATTTTAGCCAGGGGGTGGTGGTACATGCCTATAATCCCAGCACTCAGGAGGCTGAGGCAGGAGGATCGTTGCGAGTTCGAGGCCAGCCTGGGCTACAAAGTGAGGTCAAGACCAGCCTGAACTGCATAGGGAGACCCCGTCTCAAAAAGACAAAAAAAATTTGTGTTAAGGGAAAAAAAAAGAATTTTAGTTGTTTTTCGGCATCTTTTATCCTGTCTGGTTATGGAAGTAATGCTTCTCTTATCAAAATTCATTTGGAGATAAAATTACATTTCCTGACAACTAAGAAAATCTATAAGAAGGGACAATTTGGGCTTTAGAAATACTTTGGATTATGATGTTTTTCAATAAATTTACTGCTTGTGCTTTTGGTATTCCAAAACAACCTAAGAGACCGTTACTTTTGAGAGACAAGGGCTATTTTGTTGTTGTTGTTGTTGGGTCTTTTTGAGACAGGGTCTCACTATGCAGTGCAGGCTGGCCTTTGGAGCCCAGGCTGATCTCGAACTCACAAAGATCCTCCTGCCTCAGCCTCCCAAGTGCTGGGATTATAGGTATATGCCACTATGCCCAGCCAAGGGCTATCTTTTTTGAATGTTAAAATCACCAATTATTTTCCAGCAGTTTTCTAAAGACAAGCACAGTCCTGCTGGGAATGTTGGATGTGATACTGTCTCATCTATTCATTCATTCTCTCATGTATGTATTTATTGTGGTGCTGGAGAACAAACCTGGAGCCTGGAGCCCCAGCCCCTGAAGTAGACCCTTTGGTGAGAAACATACTAGTCACTGTTTGGTGGGCTGGTTTTTTGGGGGGTCTGGCGATGGTCCTCACACTCAGCACGGTGGTAGGCGCATGGATCTGTGCTTGCTGAGCAAATGAATGACAGATGTTTCCACGCAGAGACCCTCAGTCTCACCGCTACCAGCACATTGTCCCTGACCCTTTGACACGGGAGACTGGGCTGCGGATCTGTAAAGTTTGCAGCATCTTCATCTCCTCCCACCCTGTGCCAGGAGCGCACTTACCCCGTTTGACTACCAAAAATGTCTCCAGACACTGTCCAATAACCAACGGGATGCAAAATGGCCCCGGTGAGAATGGCTGCTTTACCACCTGAGCATCGATCATGATGTCACATTGCCCACTTGAGTGTAGGTCAGGGAGTTCGGTTAGTCAATCAGTGAGCATTGATGGGAGACAGTATGTGCTCATGTAACAGGTGGCTGCCCTCTTGAGGCTCCTCAGAAGAGGATCAAAATGGTGTGTGTTTGCTAAGGACTGGGTCTCTCAGCGACCAACTGCACAGGGAGAACACGAGAGGGAGTTGTAACTGGTAAGTTCTACCGCCGATCTCCACCCACACCCTATCCCGTGTGGTGGCATCTGGGAGGGAAGCAGTTTCAGACACTTGGTTAGGACAGCTGGTCAGGAAGGCTGAAGCCAGAAAACATTTTTAGCCATTACACTAAGCAGGGAGGCCCCCTGAGCGTGGTGTGGTTTCCTCCTGAGAAATGCAGGCGGCAGGAAGTAACATAAAAGTGGTGTGTGTCCAGCAGCAGGAACAGGGTCTCCACTGCTTCCCGGCCCTGACCTTCCGCTGGTGGTGGCAGGGTCTGAGGAGCTGACACAACTGCTCTGCACTCTCGCCAAATCACTGGCCCTTCAGGAGACTGTTAGAGGCCGGTTAATCATCTTCTAATCCCCTGGCTTTAACCTGAGTCCATGGGCCTGTATGATATTCTGCAAAACAATGTCACGCAAGCGTGTGTGGTGGTGGGAGAGAAGAATCACTAGATTTCATCATATTTTTTTTTTTTCTTTTTGCCTTGAACTTGCAGAGATCCTCCTGTCTCAGCCTCCCAAGTGCTAGAATTACAATATGTGCCAGCATACCCGGCTTCACTGTATTTTCAAAGGAGCCTCAACTTCTCAAATGTTAGAAAGTCACTTATCTAATCTCATTTGAGAGGCGAGGAAACTGAAGCTCACAGGTTAAAAGGCTCCTTCAACTTTTCACAGTTGGAATCTGGCAGACTTCCCGCTGCCTTCCCACCCAGCAGGGTCCTGGGAGGAGTGAAGTCTGAGGTCCCTGGATGAGTCCTGAGGCCTGGTGCGTTAGGAGGACGGATGCCCTATTCTATTCAAACAGAATGCAAGATGGTCTGTACATCTAAAGCTCACACCAATACAAGTATTTCAGTATAAGGATATACCAAACAGTACCTATGGGACAGACTCCAAAAAATTATTCATCTGAAATTCAAATTGAACTGGGTATCTTGGATCCCTGCACCCCATTTTTAGTGCTAAATCTGACAGCTTTGTTTGGGAGGGATGGCCCAGGAGTCTTCGGCTGGGAAGTGGGCACTAAGGCACCGGCCGCTGGACTTTCATGAGCCGGTTTAGAGACTCTCACTGTGTCTGACCCTGCCCTCGGCAGAAGCCTCCTGGGCCCTTGGCCAGTGTGAGGCCCAGCTGCTGAAGAGACCCACTCGCCCCCACCGGTGACCCCCGAGGCCCGAGGGGTCCAGGCAGGCCCCAGGCATTCTGTTTGCCCTGGCCTCTCAGAAGACGACACCTCACAGATCTGGGAAGAGTAAAGATCAAATTTATTTAATACAACACCCCTCGGGTTCCCTGCCGCTGGGGCACTGAGGCGAGCAGGGAAGGCGATTTCGGGTCAGCGCGCTCCACGGTGCCGGCCGCCACCCCTTCCCACCCCTCAGGACGGCCTCCCAAACAGCTTAGGAGCTCAGGAGCCCACTTCTGTAGCAGGGAATAAATAAAAAAAAAAAATTAGTAAGAAAAATACACGCTTCATTTTCCTATTAGAAATAGTATTTGCTGTAGGCAACCGTTTCTCCTCTTTCGGCCTCTGGCTTGGTGGAGGAAGACGACAGGGCTCGCTCTGCCTGCCTCTTCCGTCTGAGCCCTGCCCAGGCCTCGCCTTCAAGGTGGCCTCCCAGGGGCTCCACCCAAGCAGCTTCGCCTCCCCCCTGCGGCGGGTGAGGTCAGAGGGGACCGGGACGCTGTCTGGTCATTTCTGAAGCGCAAGCACTACCCAGAGCTTCAGGCCACGGAAGGACCAAAGAAAAAGGAAACAACAAACTAGGCCTGAGAGCCGGCCACCTCCTAGAAGTGAGTGGGTACAAGAGAACGTGTGTGTGTGTGTGGGGGGGCGCATGCAGCTGTTCTTTATCTCTGCGCAAGACAAAATATTCAAGTTTTAAAATACCCCAGTGGCCTGTTATCTCTGACCTCTTTCAGCTCTTCTGCACGGTGAGGATGCTTCCACTTGGGAGGAGGGCCGCACAAGTGATCGAGCAGCCCCTCTGTATGTTTTTTTTTTTGGGTACCGGGAATCAAACTCAGGACCGTGCGCTGCCAGGCAGGCGCTGTGCTGCGGGGCGACATCCCCGGCCCTCTCTGTATCTCTTTATACCTAATGTTAACGCAGCGGGATGGATTTAAGAACTGGTGCCTTGGTCTGAGGAATTGCTAGGTTAGACAGAGGTAAGTGCACAGAGGTCTTGGAATATGGGAACCGTCTGCTCTTCTTGGGACGCGGACGTCTGAGCGCCTGCTTCTGCTGTCCTAAGTTTCATCAAGGGAGGCTTCTGTTCTCTGTAAGGACAAATGACAGAAGAAGCTGTAGTCACACCCGCTAGGACCGAAGATCACCCCGGGAGGTGGACGTGCGGAATGGCAGGCAGCACTTCACAGAGGAACTGCAAAGCTGCGCAGGCGTCCGCTGGTGCCCCCCGTCCTGCCGCACTCACGTCTCCCTCCTCTGCACTGCCTGCTGCCTCCCCCCTTGCACGCCTGTGGGAATCAGCCTACCACGCCGCTGCATCAACTGCGCATGTGCACCAGGCTAAAGTGGGAATCAGCCTACCACGCCGCTGCATCAACTGCGCATGTGCACCAGGCTAAAGTGGGAATCAGCCTACCACGCCGCTGCATCAACTGCGCATGTGCACCAGGCTAAAGTGGGAATCAGCCTACCACGCCCCTGCATCAACTGCGCATGTGCACCAGGCTAAAGTTACCCAGCTGAAGAGAAAGGACCTGTGAATTTTAAGAGACCTGGCTTCTAGCCCCAGCTCCCCCTCTAATTAGCATGAGTTATTCTCTCTCTAGGGCTGCTTGTTTGCTTGTTTTTCAGATAAGGTCCTGCTACGTAATTCAGGCTGGACTTGAACTCACTATGTAGCCCAGGCTGGCCTGGAACTCAGGGTGATCCTCCCGCCTCAGCCTCCTGAGTGCTAGGATTACAGGTGTGCACCACCATGCCCAGCTAGGTCTGCTTTTTATTTATTTATTTATTTATTGCTGTTTAGTTTTAAAAATGAAGGAATCAACGTAAATGATCAAACTCAGATATTTTAAAATGATGTGATTTGCCGGGCATGGTGGCGCACACCTGTAATCCCAGCACTCAGGAGGCTGAGGCAGGAGGATTGTGGCGAGTTCGAGACCAGCCTGGGCTACAATGTGAGCTCAAGGTCAGCCTGAACTGCATAGCGAGACCCTGTCTCAAAAAGACCAAAAAAAAAAAGATATGATTCAATCTTAAAAGAATGAAATTCTGATATTTTAAAATAGATGAACCTTGAGAGAATCACGCTAAAAGAAATAAGCCAGACGTAAAGGGACAAATATCATGATTCCACTTGTTCGATCACCAAGAACAGATGCACAGAGACAGAAGGTGAGACACAGGTGGCAGTGGTCTGGGAGCGGGGGAAGGGCAGGGCCCAGTTGCTGTGAAATGGGTACAGCGTTTCAGCTTGAGGTGATGGAAATCTTCTGAGCAGGATAACGACAATTTAGGAGGTGGTTAGTGATGACAGCTGCGTAGCAATGTGAGTGCACCTCACGTAACTGCTTTATACATTTAGAAATGGTTAGGGGGCCAGGGATTTCGCTCAGTGGCACGGTGCCTTCCTGGCGAGCGTGAGGTCCTGAGTTCGATTATGACATACATACCTACAATAAAAAAGCTAAGCAATCTCTTCTACCAGCTGGCAGTGCTGTTTAACTGCTTCAAATGATGCTCGGGTCAGCTACCCCCCACCAGAACCAGGATCCTTAGCTGACCGGCGCTGTTCTCTATGCTGAGGATGCAAGAGCCTGCGCCCAAGAATTTTACCTGGGATCCCTTATTAACAATGCAAAGATGAGAGAGGATAGGCAAGTCCTTAGCAAAGTACGAAGAGTTCCGAGGAGCCGGGAGGGCAGTGAGCGATCACAGAAGTGACCGGCGCTGGCCTCAGAGGGGGGATTTGACAAGTGAGGGCCTGCGGGCACAGCAGCCTGCTACAGGTGGAATTCAGTGGAATTCAGCAAGGCACCAGCGCGAGGCTTGTGAGGACTGCCCGGAGTCCCGGGAACCCCACGGCTGGGCTGGCGGGTTTCCCAAGGGTGAGCGCGGATCGCGTCTCCATTTTGTTCTGGCCCTGCTGGGTCAGAGCCTTTTGGAACAGGATGCAGGACTGAAGACACCGGCTAGAAGGTCAAGGCTCTGGCTCCCGCTCTGCCAGGAGGAACCCAAGGAGCGGGCCAAAAAAGCGGTGTTGGCCCCACAGGGCTGGAGGCCGGCCAGCGCTGACAGCTACTCCAGCACCGTTTCCTCTCCTCCGGCCGGAGCGGGGATGCCTGGGGTGTCCGGCCCGTCCGCGGAGCCTAGCGATGAGCCCTCCTTGCACACCTCTGCTCCCCCTTTTGGGCAGTGCTACAGACAGGAAGGGCTTGGCTCGGGGACTCTGAAGTAAAGGTTACCACGCTCACACCCGAGGACGGAGCTCGCTGTGCCGAAGGCAGAGGCCAGCTGTCAGCCGCCCAAGTACAGACGGACCTGCCCACTTCTGGTCAGAACAGGATTCCGATCCCCTCGGAAATAATTTGCCTCCAACGGCCTCGGGCTCTCTCATTCCTACTTCTAGAAAACACTGCGTATGAGTCCTTCTAACGTTTTAGGGCTGTCAGGCGCTCACACCAGTGCCAGCTCGCGGATGCGGAACCAGCAGCTTGCCCAGGGTGACAGGCTGGTGCCCAGCGTGTCTAGCACAAGCTAAGCCTCACCGCGTGGGTCTCTGGTTCCTAGGTCAAAGCTTGGCTTTGCTCGAATCCCTGTCCTGGGGGAAGCAAGTGCTACCTTCCGTACAGTGGCAGGGGATTTGAGGGCCAGGTAAAGTAATTTCACCACTCACATCCACTTTCGCCAAAGTGTTCGGTGAAAAGAAGCATCCTAGGTAACAGCCAGCTTTTATGTGGTTGCTAAGTTTCTCCTTTGACCGTTCATAAAGCCCTGGTGAGCAGCCCTTGTTCCCCTCCCCCGCCCCTCTTCCTCATCCCCACTTTGTGGCTGCGGACGCTTAGGCTTGGGGAAGACAGGGTCACCCCAAAGAGGCCTGAGGAGCAGCGAGCCACTCCTCAGCGCCCTGGAGCCAGCTCCTGGACAGGTTCCACAGCAGCCCAGCCACCTGTGGCCCCGGGCGGGAGGAAGCTCAGTGGTCAGCACTGCTTTTTTCCCTGAGGAGGCAGGGTTCCCGCCAAGATGGAAGACCCTCACAGGGCTGGATTCCCCCTTCTCACTGAAGCCCAGGGTGTTCTCCTCCGTGTTATCTGCCTGCAGGGGCCACAAACACCATGTATAAACAAGGCAAAAATGGCAGAGGAAAAGTGAAGTCAGAGTGTGCCATTGAAGCCAGTCGAACAATACCAAATTAGCAGTTGGCTAAGTGGCTGTCTCATTGTTAAGATATTTCCTCCAATATGTTTTCAGAAGTAACGGCTATTAAACAAGAGGGAACGATTGCCAGGTTTGATTTCAGGAAGGAAATCCCCTCCCATTTCCCTGCTGGGCAATTCAATTAATTTTCTCCCGATCGACTCCAGCTGATTATTGGGGAAACTATACGTGCTTCTTTTATAAACAAAACCCACTAACTTAAAAATTCAAAATTCCTTTCCCAGTGGCTGAGGGCTCCTCAGCTCCCGCCAAAAGGCTGTATTTTGGGGGGCAGGAGCAGCCCGAGAGGGAGCTCTATGGAGCCGACTTTGGGTCCACGGTCCAGCTTCTGGGGAAAGGGAGATTTCAGTCTGACCTGGAGCTTGGAGCCTTTGCCCAGAAAGACTCTTGGAATGAAGACAAAGAAAATAAGTTGGTCCTGCGGGGGTGCCAGGGCTTGGGGACACAGTCAGATTTACTGCAGAGGGAAAACACATTTTTATCAGCCTCTCACGCCGCCTGGGGGGCGAAGTTCTGGCTCTCTGGCCTCCCAGGGGTGACTGAGGGCCAGCTGTTCTGCCAACCTAAGCCTCAGTTTCTTCATCTATAAATTGGGCTCCCCATCTTTCTGAGGCAGCTGTCTCTGATTTCAGGAGTCTGGGTGGGTGGGTGTGGACTAAAAAAAAAGATGTTCCTTTTATTCTTCTTTTCCTCAAATTGATAGCTTTCCTCTACGAAAAGAACGTCAGCCGCTTCCTGCCTGTCAAATGCATAACAAGCTCTGTTTTACACAAATTCAGACAAAGGAAGTCAGGGGCTCGCTGGAAGGGGAGGCAGATGTCTTACACAAAGTTCCTCCCAGACCATAAAGACGCAGTTCATGAAACAGATTCCCCAGGTCTTAAGATAACAGCTGCCCTGTTAACTCCTGCTCTGCTGGGTAGCACCCAGTGGGGCCGAGAGTGGGAAGGTTAGCAAAAGACAGCCCTTTGCAGTTTCGGCTTGGGCTTGTCTTTTTTTGTTGTTTTTTTGAGACAGGGTCTCACTTTGTAGTCCAGGCTGGCCTTGAACTCTTGGGGATCCTCCTGCCTCAGCCTCCCAAGTGCTGGGATTATAGATGTGTACCACCACGCCCAGCCTGGGTCTGAGTGTTTCTTACTAACAGAGTGATGAGTGTCCTTGATTCCCAATCCTTTGGTGGAGGGATTCCAAGGTCCCCCTTCCTATGTGCGCTGAGATGGAATGATTGAAACAGGTCAGACAGATTATTCAAAGTCAGAACGGGTGCAGGTTAGTCAAAGCATCCTGGTTTAAAACAGACTAGGCCAAAAGGAGGGCAGGAGGAAAATTAGTGGAAAGCAGACCCTGAAGGACTGGGAAATATTTTACTGTACCGGGAACAGTGTACTTACAGAACATCTGTTTTCCACAGAATCTGCAAGACAAAGAATAGCACAGTGGTGAGCAAGGCAAAGATCTGGCTTCCCCACCAGATCGTGGGGGCTAAGGGGTGGGAGGGGGCCTAGGAAAGAGGCGGAGGACGAGGACACAGAAAGGGATGCGAGGCCACTGCTGACCCAGTGCGCAGGTTTATGGCCTCTTTGCCCACAGACAGCTTCCCAGAGGCCCTCCCATTCCATGTGACAGGCATGTAAAGTCCTTGGCACATTCTTAACATTTTAAACAGTTTAAAAAATAGTAGTAACAGATGTTCTTAAGAAAAACAATTGAAAATTGCAGGAAAGTAGAAAATAAAACACCTCTTGAAAGTAGGAAAAAACCCTCTAGTCCAACCCACCAAATTCTGCCACTTTGCCCAGTCATTTTCTACTGAGTAGACTTTTTTTTGAGGGGGGTAGTTTTATGGTATATGATATTTTATATCCTCTCTTTTTCTTTTTTTCTGCAGATCAGGCCTACTATGCAGTTCAGACTGGCTACAAACTCACTATGTAACCCAAGCTGTCCTCCAACTTGCAGCAATCCTCCTGCCTCAGCCTCCCGAGTGCTGGGATGATAGGCAGGCGCCACGATACCCAGCTCCTTTCTTCACATGACATGACTTTATAAGTGTTTCTGGTGCCTTCTTAAACATAATTGTTAAAGTAGCAAGATTATAATTGTTAAATGGATGTGCAAGGGTTTACTTAACTAGTTCTTTACTTCAAAAAGTTAGATTCTTAAACCGGGCGTGGTGGCACATTGTAATCCCAGAACTCGGAGGCTGAAGCAGGAGGGTTGCAAATCTAAATCCAGCCTATCTCAAAAATAAAAAAAATTAAGGGGCTGAAGAAAAAAAAGCGTTTTCTAGGATTTTGCTATTTTACATAACACTAGTGTCCCCTTCAGGAACAAAGCTATTTCTGTATTTCATACTATTTTGTCTGCCCAGGTATGGGATCAACTGAGTAAGAGGTAAGAACTGACCTAAGGGGCTGGGGATTTAGCTCATCGGCAAAGCGCCTGCCTGGCAAGCGCAAGGTCGTGAGTTCAGTTCCCGGTACCGGAGGAAAAAAAAAAAAAAATAGAACTGACCTAAGGCTCCGGGCATAAGAGGCCACACAGCTCTCCCGTCCAGCGCTGCGCCTCTTCTCCTAGGGCAGTGGAGGCGAACCTATGGCACGCGTGCCACGGGGGGCTGTTTGTTATCAATGAAAGCTCCAAAAGGTTCGCCATCCTTATCCCCTGGAGTCTCATTTCAGCTGACTTTTTGCAGAGCGCGCGTGCTGTGCGGTAGCCCTGCCCGGACAGCTCTGCCCACGGTCCCAGGGCAGTTGTTGGGAAAGCGAGAGGGCAGGTAAGAAAAGCAAACTGCATGGAGGGTGAGGGGTCATGGCCGGCATTCAGAGGTGGCTTGCCCTGCACGAGACCAGCGAGCGGAATGGTTTGCCCCCCAGGGTGGGGCCAGGCCCTGCTCCTAGCAGATGCCCGAGTTCTCCAGGCTGCCGAAGCAGACATGGACTCAAAGATGCAGTAGCTACAGGGACCTCAGCTGCTGCCGGGAAGACCCTGAGGGAAGGTGTTGCTCTCTTAACAGGGGTGCAGGTAATGGGGAGAAGGCCAGGACCCCTCTCCCAGGCCTCAGTCCCCCTGGAGAGAAGCACCCCAAATGGCCTGGGAAACCCAGGCCTGCAAGCTCAAAACCCAGTTCTGTCTGCACCTGGGGCCGTCTCAGGGCCATCTGTCACAGCAGGACTCACAA